ATCTTGAAGGCCTAGAAAATTCACTGATAGATTTAAAACAGGAGAATGGAACACTTTCTGAATTTTAGGGCAGTAGTTTGAACAATACTGGCAGAGACGAAGCACCATGATCCCTGCGAATAAAAAGGCAATAACAATAGTTACCATTTCCTAGCAGCGTTAGTGCCAGCTGCAAAAAATGACCCAAACCGTACCTCCCACAATCCCTTCTTCTCCCCTGGGTTCAGTAATCCATTGCAATGGCTACACAGAACTCAGAGACAGTAATCACAGTTATGGGGTTTACACAGAACTCAAAGACAGTACTCAGTTATGGGGTTTCTTAGGGAAGTTAACAGGTTTCAATTTGGGGTCAAAATGCTCAGGGCACAGTTGTTCAGTCAGCTGCTGCTGAATGCACACAAGACACATCACTCCACCATAAACCTCAGCCTGAGGGCACTTGGCTCTAGCTCTGTGGGTCAGCAAAGCTAGTTCCCCCACTTAAGTGCCTAGAGGCACCCCATTCTACAAGCAAGCTCCTGCCCAAAGTCACTCAGCTTTCCTTGCTCCGTGGACTGGGAAGCCCACTGCTCTGTCTCATGCTCTGGTTCTTGGTTCTGTTGCTGCTGCTCTGCCCCTCCCTCAGTATCACAGATTTCTGTCCCTGGGTTGAGGAGGCTCAGTGCATAGGGGGCCTTGGGGTCTAAAAGACTCACTCTTCTTCTGGCTCCTCTTCGGTGGTAGTGAGATCTTCTGAGAAGGTTCATTTTATCCCCATGCTAGAGTTTCAAGTTTTCACAGTTATAGGAACTCTGCTAACATCCAAACACAGCTGAATCACGTCACCTATTTGTATAATCTCTAACTGTCACGTATCTGACTACTTACTAAAGAAACCTCTCCATTTGAAAACCCAGCAGGTTCCTCTCTCTTACTTGGTGAGTAAAGACTGCTAAGATTGAGTACGCAGGCATTGGAAGGAAGATTATTTGCACTGAAGTATGAATCCCATATTCTGAGCTCTTGATCACACTGGGAGCTTTTTCTATTCTTTCAATACTGGCCTGCTAGGTCACTTTGAGGTGCCAAGTCGGTGGTTCAAACCCACCAATTGCTCCTCAGAAACCCTATACTGGGTCACTATGAGTCAGAACTGACTCAGCGGCACTGAACAAGAATGAACTTAATAATAAAGGTTTTGGAGGAACAGACTGGCATATTTGAGAACTTTATCACATTCTAAGATTTTGAAATTCTGGCCTTCCAATTTTTCTGGTATTTAAAGTAATGCGTACGTACTTTGAAAATGAAAGAAGAGGTGCGTGGGGCTCAGACACTACAATAAAGAACAGACAGTAGCAAGTGGAAGTCTTGTACAATTGATCTGAGGGTTAGGGAAGGAGTTAGGGAAAGGAGTATCTGCTGCATAAACAATAGGTCATAAAGAATGCATTTGCATTTTGTTATGACCATTTTGTGGTGACTATAGCAGTATATATAAGGAGCTCTGGTAGCGTAGTGGTTACAAATCAGGCTGCGAACCTTAAGGTCAGCGGTTCGAAACTACCAGCCGCTCCATGGGAGAAAGATGAGGCTTTCTACTCCCGTAAAGATTTACACCCTCGGAAACCCTGTACAGGGTCGCTATGGGTCGGACCCGACTCGATGGCACTTAACAACAACAACAACATAGCAGTATATACCCTGTTTAGTACCTTTGGGGACAGGGGGACCACAGGCACACAGTGCTAGAGCAAGAGACCATGAACCCCTCTTTTGGGATGAGGCTGGGTTGTAGTTGTTGTTGTTGTTAGGTGCCATCAAGTCAGCACCGAATCATAGCAACCTTATGCACAGCAGAGCAAAATACTGCCTGATCTTGGGCCAACCTCACTACTGTTGCCACACTTGAATCCATCGATGCTGCCACTTGGCCAATCCATCTCATTAGGGGTCTTCCTCTTTGGCCAGCACATGGATCTTCTGTCAGGTTCTGAGTACACTGGGAGCTCCTGCCTGCTCCTGTGGGGGTCCCCACTTCATCTTAGGGTCCTGCCTCTGCAACCATGTAGCCAGGGTTCACCATCATGCTAATCTTTGAGTTCACCCCAAATGGCCAGCACTGGGGAAATGGCAGGCTGTGGGAAAGCAAGAGTCACCTATAAGAAGGATGAGTTGGGGACTGCGGGGCACCATGCAGACACTTCCCACACCTAGAGAGCTGTAGAACCAGAGGGGATGGGTGGGACAGGGTGTGCCTAGCCCACATTTTGCTTCAGGCTGAGTAGTTAATAAGCTTCCCAGGGGAAGCCCCCAGACTGATTCCTGCCATCTCCTCTGCCACAGCCACCACCTTCTCACCCCTGTTTGAGGATTCAGGATTCCTCTGAGACACGCTCCTGTCAGCAGCACACCCTGCCACCTAGTGGCAAGCAAACTTGACCAACGACATAAACTGTTTGGATTAGAGATTTAAAAATTACCTCCTGTGTTTGCAAGTGATTATGCTAACAAAGGAGAAGGGAAAAAACAAGCTACCAATTTTGAATGACAATTCCAAATCCTCACAATAATGATTAAGTGGTTCTTGTCCCCATTTTATAGTAAGGAAAGTGAGATCAGGGGATATAAATGACTTGCCTGAGGCCATATACCTGTAGCTAGAAGTGACAGATTGAATTGAGCACTTATCAAACTTTAGAAAGCATCTTAATCATTTGGTTGTTGTTAAGTGCCATTGAGTCAGTTCCCACTGATAGCGACTCTGTATAGGGTTTCCGAGGAGCAGCTGGTGAGCTTGAACTGCCGACCTTGCAGTTCAAACGGCTTTGCAGTCTGGCGCGTTAACCCACAGTGCCACACCAGGACTCCGCAATCACCTGGAGGGCTTGTTAAAACACAGATCTCTGGACCCCACCCCAGAGTTTTAAATTTAGTAAATGTGAGAGGAAGCTAATTAATTTGCATTCTAATTAGTTCCCAGTGGTGTGGATACTGCTTCTTGTTCTACCATGTGAATGTTGTTTCCAACTCAGTGACCTTGTTTAAGGTGTCCAGGAGTGGCAGGTGAATTTGAACTTCCAACCTTGTGGTCCAATGCATTAGCCCACAGCACCACACTAGGACTCCAGTGTGATAGGACAGGATGAGAACAGTGCCTGGCATAAGTGAAGGTTTGTTGATAACTTGTTAGAGCTAGAGTCAGGATTATAAACTCAGGACTGTGTGACTCTAAATCCTGTCCTCCTTTGATCACAGCTTCCAACCTCACAGTTTGGATTTTTAAGGCTAAATAAAAGTTCATTGTTTGCTCCTTGGCAAGTTGATATGGAGTCCTGGTTTGGCACTGAAGGATAAGCACTGGACTGTAAGGTTGGTTTGAACCACAAGGTCGGTGGTTCAAACTCACCAGTCACTCCAGTGATAAAGTGTTGTCAAGTCCGTTTAGACCCGTAGTGACCCTGTATAGGGTTTCCTAGTAGCTTCTGAAATCATTCGGAGCTTTTGTGTGCTGGAGCATTTATTACCGTGCTGGTGATGGCCAGGGCTTTCTCGGACCACAGACAGTGCTGCAGAGTGTGGTGATTTACAGTGTGCCTGGGGAAGAGTCATCTTGCAAGTCTAAGACTGCTGCATCAGTACGGGACCTTGGGAAAGTTACACACGATATGATAATTAGGTCAAAGCAGAGGAGACGCTCTTGGGGCTGTAGCAGTTGCAGAAGCCTCCCTTGGAAGAGACATGGGGCAGGGCTCTGGAGAATGAGTAAGATCTGGGTAAATAAGGGAGCCTGTGCAGGCTGGGGAGGGACAGACCATTGTGAAAAAGAGGGAGCGGTGCACACACTGGGGCAGTGCTTTTTGAGTCAGGCACAAGGTTGCATTTCTCCTTACTGTCATATTTACTCCTCAGTATAGCCTTGCAGTGCACGGACCATGAGGAGACTTCAAAGAAAATTCATGGAAAAAAGTCTTTTCATTCTGTTTTCCCATGAACTTTTTGAAGCCACCTCGTATTGCCCTGATGCTAGAATAAGGAAACTGAAACATAGAGTAGCCTGTGGTCACATAGCCAGCTAGAATTCCAGCCCAGGTCAGACTGCCTCTCCCCTTTCCACTGAGTGAGGTTGTCCGTGTGTGTAGGAGGCTGGGCCAAGGCTTCCCCAGGTGCACAGGCACATCTGTGAGGGGCACCTGGCTTTCCTCATCCTAGCCCTGGCCCTCGTAGGAGAAGAAAAAAGCAGGACTGAAAGAGAAAGACATATGTTGGGCATCTGGGAGATTCAGATGGGTTGAGGTCAGGTGATGAGGACCTACCAGTACCAGGCTAAGGAGTTAAGACTTATGTCATAAGCACTGGGGAGCCATTGACGTTTTTCAGAAGGGAGTGATTGGATCAGCAGTTCATTGCATGCAGGGTGGAGGGTCTCGAAGTTGGACAGGTAGATAAGTAATGAATGTCTGCACTAGAGTAATAGAAAAAGGAATGTGGCCCACTACTTGCATTAAGAGCTTCCAGAACTTTGGTATGAGGATAAAGCCAAAGGGGAGATCTTCGTAACCCACAGAATCATGAGGCATATTCTAAAAATATGTTCATCTCCTGGAAATGCTGAAGGGGGAGAGAGGAGGAGAAGGCAGGTTTAATTATGTTACATTTGAAATGATTGCGGGGAGGGGAGGGAAGGTTGGAAGCCAAGTCAGCATGTTAGGGCAGTTGGTCTTAGGGAACAAAGTTTTTGAAGTTCTCTGCTGTAGGAGAAGCAGTGAACCAAAAGGTTGGTTTGAACCCCAAGGTGGGTGGTTCTAATTTCTCCTTGGAACCCTGTAAAGGGTTATATGAGTCAGAACTGGCCAACAGCACTTAACAACAACTACAAAAAGGGGAGGTCCTGGAAGTCTGTTCAGCTGTTCTTTTGGGGTTCTTACAGGACTCCCTCACATACTCAGCTCTGTTTCCAAAAGCCTAGCACATCACTTGCTTTTTTGTCTTAACCTGTTCTTTCTCTTTCTCCTCAGCCTTCCCTCGGACCACACACTTCCTCGCCAGGGCCCTAGCCAGTCCCTGTCTTTCCCAGAAAGCTACCAGACTCTTCCCAAGAACACCCGACACCCCTCGGGGAGCTCCTCACCCCCACCTCGCAACCTGCCGAGTGACTACAAGTACGCGCAGGACCGAGCCAGCCATCTGAAGATGTCGAGTGAGGAGCGCCGGGCACACCGAGACGGCACCGTGTGGCAGCTGTATGAGTGGCAGCAGCGCCAGCAGTTCCGGCACGGCAGCCCCACGGCGCCCATCTGTGCAGGCTCTCCAGAGTTCATGGATCAGGGCCGCAGCAGGAGCATGCTAGAGGTGCCTCGATCCATCTCTGTGCCTCCGTCTCCCTCGGACATCCCTCCCCCGGGACCCCCGAGAGCCTTCCCACCCCGGAGGCCACATACACCAGCTGAGAGGGTCACTGTGAAGCCACCTGACCAGAGGAGAAGTGTGGATATCTCACTGGGGGGTTCTCCCAGGAAGGCTCGGGGCCACGTCATCAAGGTGAGACTCGAGGCTGCTGGAGCCCAGCAGTGGGGTGCCAGAGCTCCAATCTGGGTTAATAATGATAGCCAACATTCACACAGTGCTTTTTGTGCCCAATACTATTTTAAAGACTTTGTTTTGCTTAACTCTAATTAATCCTTACAACAATCTAATGAGGTAGATGCTGTTCTGCACATTTTTACAGACGAGGACTCTAAGGCATCGAGAGGTGAAATAAGCTACAGGTTACTTCCCTATAGCTCAGGAGGCAGGAAGGATGTCTGTGTGAGAGCAGTTCAATTATTTATAATAAGCCCAATTTACCTTTTCTTTTTATTTAAGTTTTTTTTTTTTTAACTTTATTGTGAATTGAGTGAAGGTCCCCAGAGCAGATCATCAGTTTTACATTCAACAAATCACATACTTTGCATTGTTACAATGATTTCAGTCCCCTCCATGTATTCACTGTAACTACTGCATTCCTCCCTATGTCTCATGCTACCTTCATCTTTCCTCTGCCAGTCTCTCTCTGCCTCAACTGAAGTTTTTGCTCTCCCAAGTGCTTTTCCGTAGTCTATCATTGTTGTAGCCCTGTGAGAGGCTAGTACACATCCCATTTTACAGATGAGGAGCCTGAGGCTCAAGGAGGTAAAGTGGTGTGTGGTACTCTGCCTTGGCTGTGAGTGGCAGCAGTACTGACTTCAGTGTGACTTCTCCCCACCTGCAGAACTCCTCTCACGGTGACCGACGCTCCATGCCCTCCATGGGCTACATGACCCACACAGTCAGCGCTCCCAGTTTACATGGAAAATCGGTAAGTATCCAAGCAGATGATAGGATTCAGTAGCACAGTGGTTACGAATTGGGCTGCTAACCTCAGGGTCAGCAGTTCAAAACTACCAGTTGTTCCACGGGAGAAAGATGAGGTTTTCTGATCCAGTAAAGATTTATAACCTCCAAAACCCTGTACAGGGTCGCTATGAGTCGGAACTGACTCCATGGCACATAACCACCACCACCACCATAGAACACTATCTCATTAGTTTTCCCCTGGGCTGGCCAAATGCAGTTTGTAGAGCAGTCTGTTGTTGTCGTTGTGTCCTTGAGTCAGTTCCAACACACAGTGATGCTGTATGTAGCTTTCCAAAGAGCAGCTGGTGGGTTGAACCATGGACCCTGTGGTTAGCAGTCCAGTGCTTATCCTACATCACCACTCCAGGACTCCTATTCACCCCTCTTTAGAGATGAAGAAACTGAGGCTCAGAGAAGTCCAGTGACTTGTCCAGGGTTATCAGGTAGTGGTGAATGCTCCCCAGATGAAATCAAGCACTCAGGAGGACGTGGAGGGGAACACTGAGCATGTACGCACTTTGGGGTCGATTTTTGCCTGGAGCATTTTCCAGCCACCTGCCTTTCTCCCTTTAGCACCTCTCCTTTTTCTCCTGGCCCTAACTTTGACGAGTTAACTCTGTCTTCAAAACTGGAGGGCCGGGTGAGGTTGGCTGTTTGCTATATTTCTGCAAAAACTGCTTCGTGCAGCCCTGTTCTGCCGGCATCTTAATTTGTCCTAATGACAGAATGAATGCCATAGTTGCTGCCCTGGCCCCGGGGTGAAGTGTAGTCATAGCATCGTGCTCCTGTGGTGGTTCATTTCCTCGTATTGTGTCCACGCACCTGCAGCTGGAGGAGCTCTCCCTACTTCTCACCCGGTTATGGCGGCACCAGGCCAAGCTGGCCAGTGTGCGAAATTTCGCCGTCAGCCAGTTACTGCAGCACCAGCTGACCTTTCCCACCTCCCAGGTCAGCGCTGCTGGGATCTCTCTGCACCGTGCCACTCGGGGCAGGAGTGGCTTGCTGGTCTAGGCTCACTTGTGCCCATGCTGTCATCTGTATTTTCTGTCTGGTCCTCTCCCTCATTCCCTGCCTGTTTGCTTTTGGATACGGCCTCCAGACACTGTCTGGTTGGGATGGAGCCCTTGCCTCTGGTGCTGGGAGCTTGGTTGCATGTGGTGTTAGGGACCGGGACTCTGGCTTATCTGGCTGTAAGTGCTGATTGCCAGGCTGCTGTGTGGTCATGTCCAAAGGGCTCTGCTGGCTCTTGTCTTTGTTGCCATCTTGGGTACTTCTTGGGTTACTGAAGGGTTTGTGGGTCCTTCTGGAGGGAGAATGCCTCATGCCCTCTCCTATCTGGACAGTGCCCAGCTGATTCTCAAAGCACTTTCACATTTCTGATCCTTTTGAACCTCACAATGACCTGGGAAAGGTTGGACAGGACAGGGATTATTGCCACACATGAGGCAGTGGATTCAAAGGAGAAATGACTTGCCCAGGGACTCTTAGCTGCTATCATGCAGACTGGAGCCAAAGGCCAAGCCCGCTTTGCACTGTTCTAAACTGGTTTCGGGACACTTGGGCTTTGCAGACGAGCTCCTCAAAGTGTGGCCTGGGAATCACTCTCCCAGGATTCTCAAACAGCTTACAGAAGCTGACCCCTCCCTTGGGTTGTCTTCCAGTAGGAATGGGTTCAGCCACTTAAGGCCAGTCCCTCCAGGCTGCACAGAGGTAGGCAGACAAAGGGAGAGGACTGTCTCCTTCCTTTCCTATTTTGTTTTAGTGAGATTTGAGGGGCTCAAGAAATGCAATTTTTAAAAAACTGGATGGAAGGGAATATGTGCAGTTTGGATGATTTTTAATAACATGCCTCTGCTCTGTTCCTCTTACTCCTATGGAAAGTGAATAGGGACCAAGCCCATGGATAAGAGGACAGTTTAGGGACAGAGACAAGATTTTGCAAGCTACTAGTGTCCCTGACAATAGTGGATCAGGCACTGCCTGACTTCCTCTGTCATTATTTGCATGATCGTTTTAACATCAGAGCAGTAAAGGAGCATCACCTTGCTTGCCTTGCCTTGCTGGGAGGCTCTCTTAGTCTGTTGAGAAAGGGGGTGCCTGATCTAATTCTCTTAAGCTTTCGCAGCCCCTCAGCTTCACAGTTAGTTTCTGTGATGTGCTATGCAGGAGTGCATGAGATCTAGGAAATCAAAGAGTCATATTCTCACTGTTCCCAGTAATTATTCTGAAGAACTTGACAGACTGCTATATGCTATGAGCAGGTAGGTCTGACAGGAACTCTCTTGATTAGCTCCTGACGTGGCCACATTGGCTCCGTGCTGAGCAAAAAGAGCCGAGGCGCATAGGAAACTTCCAGCAACTGTTGGTACTTATTGTCCTGTCCTAGAACCCAGTTTATGTTGGGAGTACACTGGGTCACTCAGGTTCCCACCCAGCATTTGCCAGGCACCATCCATAACCAGTCAGGGGGCCATGTTGCTTCATGCATTTGAAGTGACCCATTCCAAAGGTTTAGTGAATGAACTGGAACCTGGGTGATGGATGACCCTAACTCAGGCGTAAGCATGCCTTCTTCCAGAACTACCTCTCCAGTTCTATCTCAGGAGCCCACCTTAGCTGCACTGCTGTTCTAGCCTTCTGAGGGAGTATGTTCTGTCACCCCTTCCCATCTCCTCCTAGTCATTTGGGAACAAGCTGGCCGTCTCCCTCCCCATACTGACTCACAAAATCCAC